ATTAATATTTTATTAATATGTATTATTAATATTTCATTAATATGTATTATTAATATTTTATTAATTAATAATAATATAAAACATGTTAAAAAAATAAAGGGTTAAAAGTTAAAATATAAAAAAATTAGGGTTAAAAATTAAAATATTAAAAGGTTAAAAATAAAAATATTTAACTTTTGTCTTTTTTTTTTGTCTTTTGTTGTCTTTAGTGTAAGAGGGGTGGGGATTTTGGGGTAGCAGGTGCGGGGTTAGAATCCCCCTTACTTAAACGCGTCGCGACTCTCTTTCATTTTCCCCTTTTCATATTGCATCAACGCCATGTCTCAAGGAGTCTATAGCGGCGGCGATGGCGTCGGCGGCGGGAACACTCACGGTGCACCGCCTAAATTATACTTCTGTTACCAGTGTAACCACACGGTCTCCATTAGACCTTCACCTACCGTCTCATCCGAACTCTTTTGCCCCGATTGTAGCGGTGGTTTTCTTGAAGAATATGAAAACCCTAACCCTAGCTCGACGACACCGAATCCTTTTCTTGCCTTTGACGATGATTCTCCTTTCACCCCTTTCTCCACTGGTTTTCCCCTTGTCTTCTCCACTACGTCCCGTGGCTCCGGCGCTGCTTCTGACGATTTTCAGAGTCCTACGGATCTCTCTGCTCTCTTTGGTGGCCCTCTTTCACGATCTGGAAGTTTCCAGAATCCCGGTGAGTTCAATCCCTTTGCATTCCTTCAGAATTATCTCAGTACCTTACGGGCAGGTGGCGCCAACATCCAGTTTGTTATCGAGAACAATAGTGATGGTGATCCGTCGGGGTTTCATCTCCCTGCGAATCTAGGAGACTACTTTATTGGTCCGGGTTTAGAGCAACTGATTCAACAGCTCGCTGAGAACGATCCTAATCGTTATGGCACCCCCCCTGCGTCAAAGTCAGTGGTTCGGAACCTACCTAGCATTAAGATTACTGATGATTTGTTGGAATCAGATTATTCTGATTGTGCGGTGTGTAAAGATAGCTTTGAGCTACATGAGGAGGCGAAGCAATTGCCGTGTAAGCACGTTTATCATCAGGATTGCATCATACCTTGGTTGGAGCTGCATAATTCTTGTCCTGTTTGTCGCTTTGAGTTGCCCACTGATGACCCGGAATATGAGAACAGGTCTTGTGAAGGCTCTGTTGCTGCTGGTGGTGGTCGTAATATGGGTGCTGCACGGTCAGGGGCGGCCTCTGTCAGTGGTGATCCTCAAGAAAATCCAGAGACCCCAAGTAATACGGAGAGGAGGTTTAGGATAAGCTTGCCTTGGCCTTTTACTGGATTTGGCGCATCTGCTGAGACAAGCAATAGTGGAGCAGGGAACAGCAACTCAGGCCATTCCAACTCGGGAAGTGGTGGTCAGGATAGACAAGAAGATCTTGGCTAAAGACAGGTTGGTATAAATCTGCTTACTTTCTTGTAGTCAGGTACTTAGACCCATTATATGTGCTATATGATAGGTTATAGATGAGTGAAACAAGTATATCCTGGATTTTTTTATTCTATCTATTAACCAGTGTTGATTGCTCTCACTTAAGTAAAGGACTGGGTTCTTGTTCTATTGATTTAGAAGGCATGAATTTTATATCAAGAAGTAATATTGAACCTCATTATGTGTAATGCACACAGTTGTTGTAAAATTTGGTCAAAACTAATGCAATTAGTTCGTTATATGTGATGCTCAAATAAAAGGAGAGGTAACATCCATGGAAGTACTACTTAAATTTACCAAGGCTTTAGCCTTGAGTTGATAGAACTTTACACAATCTCTCATTGAACGTTCTGTTGGTTTCTAACAATGTAAGAGATGGGGATGGCATCATCAATCTAATCTAAGTAATAAGTTACGAAATCTTGATTTTCTTCGACATTAAATTCTAATTCGTAGAAATGCAATGAGACACTTGGTTCGAGGTGAGTGATCGCTAAATAATTAAACAAATGTAATAATGCATGGTCTTGGAATTCTTTTTACAATAAAGCAGAAGTGCACATTTGAAATTGTTTTTATATACTTAAAAATTTACTTCTCTATCTTCCATACATGTCATGCCTTATCACTGAACCAATAACATCGATAGGTAGCCATCTTTGTATCATATTACTCGGAGATTACCAAATTAGTTACAATAATGAAAGCATATCATGAATAGATCAATATGCAAGAATTTGGGAACACTAATATTATTGCACAAGTAGATTGGTTTTCTCAGTTCTTGCTTTTGTGCTGTGTGTTTTGACAAGGTTCTTTTTTACATTTCCTTGTTGGAGTGCGAAATAGATTTACTACGTTGTATGATCTTTTTGCGAGTGAACTACATAATACATTTGTGATCTCATAATCTTTTCGCTACATCTACATAATCATCACCACTATGCTTCAGTTGAAGTCCTTGATATAATCTTTGAGAACTTTAGTTTGTTTAAGGGGAATGTTATTAAGTCCTATGTGTCAACAACTCTTTGAAGCACATAGTGCTGGGAACACTTTGTTCAGAACGAATTTCGTGTATAAGGAGGGGTGGTCAATTCAAAGGTATATTCAGCACAACGGGAAGGATGAATAGGTATTGTGATAAATCAATAACACCGATGCTTTAAGACCATAGAGGTAGACGAAAATAGAGGTTTGGTGCCTTGTCTAGAAAGTCGGTCCAGAGTAGCAATGGCATGTGCCATGGGATATGACATAAGGTATGATACGAGGCTTGGCGCAAATTTTAAGGAGAAACAAACATATCCATACTGATTTAAAACATGTAGTGAGCACAGTGGATGGACTTGGTTTAAAAATGCGTGCATTATGCACTGTCATGCGCTGAAGAAAACGCATCAAAGAGTCTGATGCGTTGCGATTCCATGATGTGATCGCATCACCTACTCATCACACGATGCGTGCATCACTTATGCATCAGCGCATCATGTATGTTGCTTTTTTGGGCTCTCTTTTTCAGTATTTAGTTGGGCTTTTTAGTTGGGCTTCTTAGTTAAGTAAAATAGAACGTGAGTGAGACTGTTAGCGACCTAATAGAAGAAGCCGACAGCGAAGAAGTAGAAGTAGTCGATACCAGCAGCAGTAGTCGAACCAGCAGCAGTCGATACCAACATCGCATATCAATTAAAACGCGATGTGAGTTGATACCAGCAGCAGTCTCAATTAAAATGCGACGTGAGTCGATACCAGCAGCAGTAGTCGATACTAGCAGAGTCGATACCAACAGAGTCGATACCAGCAGAAGTCGATCAGCTTACAGAATGTCGGAATCGGAACCTATTGCGAGTTCAAATTCAAACTCTTCATCAGGTGACCCTGGTAGAACATATGGAACTCAAGATCCTAAATGTAGGAACAATTTCACTTGCCACTTTTGTGGTAAAGTAGTCAAGGGTGGTGTATATCGTTTAAAATGGCATTTTATTGGAGGTCTATCAGCTGTTACTAGTTGTCCAAATTGTTCAGAACATGTAAAAGAAGAAATAAAGTCTTATATGCAGAAAAAAGAAGTAGCGAAGGTGGAGAATTTAATGAACTCAAGTTACTTGCATTCGGATGATCATGATCTTGGTGAAGAGGACGATGACTGTGTTGAAATAGAAGGTGGTAGTGGTAAGGTGCCCACACGAAAAAGACCGAGACAAAAAGGTCCCCTAGATAGGTTCTTCACTCCTAATTTTGAAGACGTGATCAAAGGTAAAAAAGATGGAAAAGGAGGGATACAACAAACCATAAATGCGGTGGTTCGGAAGGAGTTAAGGGATAAAGCTTGTACGCAAATAGCAAGGTGGTTTTATGATGCCGACATTCCTTTTAATGCCGCTACTTATGATAGCTTTAGTGTAATGATTGAAGCTATTGGCCAATTTGGCCCTGGAATGAAACCACCAAGCATGTATGAGCTAAGAGTTCTTTTACTCAACCAAGAAGTAAAAACCGTTGAAGAAGAAGTAAAGGAACATAAAAAGGAATGGGCCCAAAAAGGTGGCTCTATTTTATCGGATGGATGGCGTGATTCGGTTGTCCAAAAAGACATAATTAACTTTATGGTGAACTCTCCAAGGGGTT